ATAACTTTCTTTACAAGATAATCGATTGATGCATAATTCTTGAACAAACAATCTTTACCCATTATCACATCAAAGTCTCAAATCCTCAAGACTATCAAATCCACCTTTAAAATACTACCAATAATCCATAATTCACACCCCTTAACCATATCCCTAGACTCCAATGTCTTCCTTAAAGGAAGAGCTACTTCATACATAACATCTAGTGTTTCGATTAGCACCCCTAATTTTCTCAATAACTACCATGATATGAATGAATGTGATACATTTAAATCAACTAAAGTGTATGTGATAAGATTTTGAATTAAAAAATATTCTCATATCACGAATGCATGCTCTTTCTCAGCCTACTCCTAAGTCATGATGTACACTCTCCTAGGTATTCTCGGTGTAGCATTATTCTTAGAAAAGTTGGTTACCAAGTGCCCCACCTCTTTGTAGAAATAGCAGTTATTGGTGCCAACCAAGTAATTCTATCCGCCACACTTGAGGTAATTCGACATGTTTTATGGTTTTTACCTTCTGCTACCTCTCGAGAACCTTAGCCTTCTTGGCATTATCTACTTAAGTCCTCTCAAATCTATTCCTTTTAGCGAGCTTACTCATTAAACCTATTTGTAATAAATGACTTCTTAACTTTTTATAAATGTGTTGCCTCTCTTTGATCTTTCTCTATTTCTAGTGCCTTCACAACTATGTCATTTTAACCATCTGTGGACACACATACTAGATTGCATATCTTAGGTTGTAGACCTCTCAAAAAGTAGCTTCTCTTTTATGCGGCATCTCTTGAAATAAAAGTTATAAATTGATAACTATGCTCAAACTTCTTAACATATTTAGCATTATCATATCCCCCTACTCTAACTTCATAAACTCTTGAATCTTCTTCAACTTTATACTATCGAAGAAGAATTTCTCATTGAATACCTATAAATCGTGCTTGATGTAAGGTTAGGCACATCTAAAGAAAACTTTGCTTATTTCCTCTAAGTCCGTGCATCACCAAGCAGACATGAATATAGCATAAGATACTCTGTTTGTATCCTCTATTGTTGTATGCTCAAAGATCATTTCCAAGGAATCTATCCACTCTTTGGTAATCATGGGGTCGGACTTACCCATAAACTCTTTTGGGTTGAACTTCTTGAATCTCTAAACCATGTCAACCCTCTATGGTGGCCTTGCTACTACTCGTTGGTTATTGCATGGTCATTAAGACTCTCATTTGCTCATCATGTCTCTATTGTTGCTACCGCATCATTTCTTGTTAATGCTATAATAACCCAAACATCCGCTCGGTTAAAACCCCATTATCCACAAACCTATCATTTTCCTCTTAGTTTGTAGCTCTCGTGCTTGCTCCTATAGCATTATAGTTTTCCCTTGCTATCTTGTTCTTATTCCCATGCATTCATACAAATTTCATAATTCACACATCAATATCAAACATATCCAACAACATCAAGCATGACATATAACTCATAAAATAAATATAACACATAATCATCAAATCACATCTTTAAAACATTAGATAAAAAGTTCACATTCGATAATTTAAACAATTACTTAATGATGTTGTTAGAGCTAGAATCTACATGTTATATTGAGGCCTGCTAAGTCTAATTCTCCTAATACCACCTTTGTAATGCTTGCGGCCCAATAGGAAGCCGAAAGTGTTACTGCACTCTCTCACACCAAAAGGTGCCAAGGTAATGCACTATGTCCTCTACTTTAGATATCTATGACAATACATAACGGAATTCTAATTCGGTTTAAAGTTCAAGGGTTCCTAAAATTTGATATTTAAGGCTAATAATTTTTTTCACAACCTATGGATAACCTAAATCATTTCATCTTCATTCTTGAATTAAAATCAATAATGCATAAACATAAAAAATTTATAATCATCCTATAATATTTCACTTCCATCCTTGGATTTAAAACTAACAAGTGCATAATTCAAACTTAATCCTTCATAAACCCTAAATCATTCATAACCATTTCATTTACCTTTAATCTCATATATATATATACACATATATCGACACTCATCCTAAATAAACCATTGAAATTTAAGCTCATGCCCAGATCCTTTTAGCTCCATCATAAAGCATTGAACACCTAATTTATTTCACCTTAAATGTCCCCGGGATCTATCACTCTTTTAAGTTTAATACATAATGATGTATCTTATTCACATTTCAAATATCATATACACATCAAAATTTCACGTTCATTCATAATATCGATTTAAATGTAAATGTAGTGCAAAGGATGTTGGGAACTTACCTTGTTGGTCAAAATGATCAAAATATGTCTCTATGAGTCTCGAAGGTGATTTTTTCACTAAAAACAAATTTTCCCTTCTTTAACTCTCCGATAGAGATAATATATGTTGTCAATCAAAGACGAGGAAGGTTGACCACTCCAAATTGATCCTTCCTTCATTTTCAAGACCACTTCTTTCAATCTTCGATGGAGACAATTTATATTGTCAACTAGAGAAGGAAAGTTGGCCGAGAGAAAACATATGAAGCTATCTTTTTAAGACTAGAATGATAAGAAGTTGATGTTTATAGCTATTAGAAATCGAGCTAGTTGAGAGGAACAATTGGGAAGAGAGGTTGCTACTATCGATACTCGACCAAGAGGAACGACAAAAAGAAGAGGCTACCGGCTATTGGTTCTTAGCTGAGAGGACTTGGATGGAAGGAGGGGTTTTTTTGCTAGTTTTTGGTTGAGAAGGAATGACTTGGAAGATAAGGCTGTTTTTGGTGGTTTTTGGCCGAGATGAGTAACTAAAAGAGGGGTTGTTTGTATTGGTTTTTGGTTGAGAGGAGCAGTTGAAGGAATAAAGTAGTTTCTATTGGTTTTTGGCCAATATGAGTGGTTGAAAGAGGGGCTATTTCTACTAGTTTTTAGTCGAGAGGAACTACCAAAGTAGGGGTTGTTGCAACTAGTTTTTGGAAAAAAAGGAACGATCAAATGAGAGGCTATTACGATTGCAACTGCTTGTTGGACAATTGCGATAACGACGATAGTAAAAGGATGAGGGACTCGTCGGCAGCTTCTCAATTTTTTTCTCTTAATTTTTGGTCGGATTATGAGAAGTTTTTTTAAAAAGATTTTGTGTGGCTTAGGTTTTGATGGGCATGAATGATGAGTGAGAGGTTTTTTTATGATGGATGGTTATGTTAGGGTTAGGGAAAATGATGGAGGCTTAGGGATTTGGGAATGAGAGTTTCTCTCTCTAGATTTCTTTTTGGAAAAGAAATAAGTGGGCTCATTCCTTTGTGAGAGAGAAGTGATGCTTATATAGTGTGGGTGGTTAGGGTTTTTGAGAAAAACCTTCACTTGCTCTTTTTCCTTTCATTTTTCAATTCCTCCTCTCATATTTTTATTTTCTCCTCAAATCCCATTTTCAATTTGACTCTTTTTAAATTGAACCCCTAATTGGATTTTTCTTAGTTCTTTTTTTCTTATTTTTCTCTACCTCTTTTCTTTTCTTGTTTTGTTTCTTTTCCTTTTTTTTTTTTTTTTTGTTTGTTAATTTTCTAAATTCTCAAAAATCATGTTATTTCTACAAAATCATAACCGATGGATAAAAAATTGCACAATCAAGCAAATTAAACAAAACACATTTGATTTTTGTTTTTATTTTTTATTTTTGAAAAAAAATGCAAAACAAAAGGATCAAAAATTGAATGATAGCAATTATAAATATCATCTACAACTAAGAAACACACGAACAAAAACCCAATACACAATAATATTCTTGCAAATTATCAACAATATCTCTCAAATAGTTTTAGCACTTGAAACACGGGAGGCTATAGTTTTTGGGCGAGTAATCAAGTATGTTGCAATCAAGTAGGTAGTAATAGATTGTTCTTCATTCAATTGTCACTTTCGTTGCAACACATATAGATCTCGTCTCTCTATGTTTGGAGTTTTACTTGGCATCTGTTTGTTAGTACCTATATCCGTAAGGTTTTTTATCCTTCCGCAGTCATTAACGTTTGTAATGACTTTTAATTCGATACTTATTAAGTTCAATTTCTGTACCATCTTTCACTCTATAGAAATTAGTTTATGTTTTTTAATAGATGTCCTTAATTAATAGAAGTTTTTAGTTACTATATGCGTTTGCATTCTAACGTTGCAACAGAAATCTTTTGAGCAACTTGAAACCCCTTCCAAGTAATTCTTTGGTCATTGCACTGTATCATAAAGTATCGATAGAGAGATTATTTTCATTAATAAAGATACTGCTTTCATTAATATTAGTGATAGAAATACCATTTTCGTTGATATTAATCTTCAATTTTCATATTTATTTAATAGTTTTAACCATCTAATTTAGAATCTGATAAATAGAACCTGATAAATACTATCACGCAGACTCCTTTCCAATCATGTTATAAAACCTTATGTTTCAAATTCTTCTTAATTGAGACTAGCACAAAAAAATCCACATCATCCCTTCTATATCTAATCATTAGATTAAAAGAGTTCGTGTGAAAACAATATAATTCTTAAATATGAATGCCATCTGAAAATCTGTCAATATATAATAATAGTGACACGGGACATAGAAGAATCCCGATTGAGGATTTTTCCACTAGGTAACACTGGAACATGATTTTCTTTTATTCTTGCACACAAAAGCCTACGCAGTAGAAAGACAAGTCGCTTATTTGAACTGGCTGTCACCCCATATTACTTCTTTGAACTGGCTTGTCACCCCATATTACTGCTTGATCCACGGGACCAGAACAGAACAAGCAGTGCATTCATGAATGTGGAAACGAAGTTTGTCGAGTATTCTACTCGAGAAAAATCATTGTTGCTCTTTCCTGAACTATCCAAAATCATCTGAGAAAGGACCTTTCCATTACACAGACGGTGAAGGGGGAAGACCTTTCAGCAAGGGTTAATATGTATTCTGTAGTACAAGCATTGATCATGACAATGGAAGCACATCCTTAGGCACAAGCTCAAATTTCAACAGGTGGAGTTGGTCTTTTAGCTTGGTTGTAGTGCAGCAGCCCACATTCAAGTCTGATTGCTGCCATGAGCTCAAGAGAGACAGGATGCCGACCCCTGCCCTTTGCACTAGATATTTTCCCAGCATCTTGCTTAATCTTCTTACCCTTGTGGTCTGGTTCATCACCTGCACCCCAGCCTCGGTAAAGTATGACTTTGCTGGGCTCCTGGGAGACTAAAACTGCACCTGTCGCTTCCTGTGGATTTAACAGAAGCAGAGGATTCTAACCAATTTATTCAGGTTTAACATAACCGAATAAACATGAAATTAGGGTGCAGACCTCTAACTTGGAAACCACCTCCTGGACAGAAGTCCCTTTGGCTCTGCCCTTGACATTCACAACAGCAAGAGGATGCCTCTGGAAGTGGGCCTTTATTGCTTTTGCAACACCAGTGACAATGTTGCTCCTCCCTAGAATGTAATAGCAGCAGCAGACACAAAATGAGTTCCTACCTTTAGTTTATGCCTTATGGAAGAAAGAACGGAGGAATTAGAGGGGCTAGGGTTGGAAATGGGAGCCTATATTAAGTTTGTAAAGGAATGCATAACATTTTCCTCTCTAAGAAAATGTATTGCTATAGTATCCACAAAACAAGGGAGGTAAGGTAATTAAATTTGGTTGGCAATTTGCTTATTACGCACATTCAAACAGTAGAAATATTGAGGTTCAGAGTTTTTAACTTGTACTGTTTCAATACTCAGAAATATTTTCAACACATATGGGCCATGCCAAAAATTCTCAAGAAAATAAATCAAGCTAAGGAAAGAAAGCTAGCACAGTACAAATATGCAACAAAAAAGCTAGCACAGTTCAAATATGCAACAAAATAACTTAACTACTGTGAACTTGATGCATATAACACAATAATCCACATCCATCACCCTCTTATGAGGTGGTTTAAAGTTTTTTATTGCAGAACCAGCTCATTAACGGTATGACTAGCCCACTTAACTCTATTGGAGAAAGTCCCTTAACATGGGGTCCACTTCTTTATCTGGAAAACAAAGCCATGAATGGCAGATTCAGCTGATGAATAAATGCACATTTTGGGCTTCATAAAGCTAGATTTTGGGTTTCATAGTGACAACAAAATAGAGAGTATTCGTAGTAGAAAATCATTCTCACTACAAAGGATTTTCTTGCAATGGAAATTGATTCTTATACTTCATTAATTACTTGTTTGAATGAACTTCGGAGAATGCTTAATAGAATGTAAACATACATAAAATGAGAGGGTAAATAAACTGGATGGTGTTTCCATTGCTTGTGCTCTACATTAAGATGATTGGGACGACAAACTCTTAATTCTTTGTTTCAATAATACATGTAACCATTCATAAATTATAAACTTTGTATGTCGATAGTGAGTGGATAGCAGGATACCAGATTTGTTAATTTTAAAAACCCTCCAAACAAAAGGCACACCCATATCTGCAGGAAAACCCCCAAAACTTTCAAAAGTTTTTATTATTTCATCTCTTATTGCCAAAAACCTTAATACAACTGCTTAAATAGAATATTACGAAAACCATAATAATAATAAACATGGAAATAAAATAATTGCAAAATATTCTACACCATTGCTAATCCCTAAATAAAAGCACTTGCCTACTTAGGAAACATAATAATCTGCGCCTAATATATTAAGATTGCAATAAAAATTGAATCACAAAAATCAAGAAGGAAATTTGATTGGAGTAATCAAGAGTATTTGTATATTGAGAAAATTGAAGGATTCATAAAGAGAGATTTCAGTAATTGATCCAAGTCCTTCAAAAATTTTTCAAGAAAAAACCTCACAAAACCTCATAGCATGGGTCACTAAAGAAGTTTCATGTCTTGTTGCCTTATTAGTTAAATCCCAACAACTTTCTTTTTTAACATTTTGTTTTTCATTTGTGTGTGTACTTACTGTTCAATATGAAGAATAATTTGATGTAGTAGTTGGTGGTAGTAGATTTGGGTTTATGTGATTCAGTTGTGGAGCTTATAAAGGTGAGGTGTCAGTGGTCATATTTGATATGGTAGTTAAGGGCTTAATTTGTTGATGTTTGAGTTTTGACTTTTAATTTTAAGTTTTTCCAATTCTTTTAGTCATTTTCTTTTTTAAATTAGAATAGGATTTTCTTTAATTTCTCATGAAGTTCAGATTATTTTACCTTTTTTCTTTCGTGGGTACTCATGTTGTAGCTATGAATCATGTGGGTCCATAAAATAGTTCAAAGTCAATTCTGTGGAAATTTTTTAACGAAAATGCATGGAATACAAAACTTGTCATGATTATGATAGTTAAAAAAAAAAAATCGAATTATGTTTTTGAAACCACCAGGTTCAATGTACCCTTGTTGCAATAGTTGCAAAGCAAAATGCCGTTAGACTGTCACAGGGTTTAAGAATAGCACCCTTGGAAACTACATTAGGGAAAGTGGAATGAAAACAATGACATAATAGAAAATAGAATGAAAAAGGAATCAGAAAATGAGGTAACAGAAATAGAATATCACCTACTGCAAGCACTGGACGTTTTCTCATCTTGAGAGCTTGCTTTCGTAGCAGAAGTCTGTCTCTATTGGAAAGACAGGCCACCCTGGAAGACATTCGATCGTCCTCTTCCCCCACAATTGGAACTGATTCTTCCGACTGATTTTCAACTGATTTAACTGATGACCCCATTTCCTCATTGAAAGAAACACAATTCTTGGCATTGAGGTGAGACACAATCTTTTTGTTCGACTGAAATCTCCGAGCAATACCAAATAAGAATCCACAGATATGTATCATAAAACATAAAAGGGATTCTAGATATTACCATGCTATTATTTGAGCAAGAAGTCCAGTTAACAGCTCCACCACTTGTACCAGTGAATAGACTATTACAGGTTTCATTTCTCACAAATTCTGATGAAGAATTAGGTCCATTTTCACCAGACCTATTCCCATCAAATGTTGAATAAAGATTAGTCCAATTAGACTGTTGAGCAGGTTTAAGTCGAACAGCATTTGTTGATGCACCCGGGCTATCATTTTGGTTAACAGTAGTTGAATCAGCTCCATGTCCATCCCTAGTCTTATATAGTTTTTTTTTTAAAAAAAAAAAAATGGAAAACAAGCAAACAATGCCAAACAACATATTAGATGTCATAATTGACCAAAAAAAAAAAAAGAAGGAAGAAAAAGGAAAACTAAAAACAATGTTATGTGATAAAAATCAGAAAAATGTAAGTGGCATTAATTAAATGTGATCAGAATGCATATTAGTACTATGTATTGTCTTCCGGTTCAACATGAATTGGCAATCCTTAAACGCCGAGACATAAAAGTAAAATTAGATCTGACGAGGTATGTTTCACTTTCAAATATGTTAATGATATGCTTCTGAGCTCTTTTATGGTGGATATGCATCTTACCTCAATAATCTCTTTGCATTCAGCAGGAAAGGTTGAAGATGAATGACAATCAGACTTCAGTTCAGAATCTGATCTTGTAGGTTCATCTAATTCTATGTTGTTCATCTCATCTTTAACCTGAAACAGAAGGCAAATCTTCAATAAAAGAGTAAAATGTTCAATTTAGTTTAGATCAAACAGTGAACATTGTTAGGCAAAGTGTTGAACAAACACAACAGGCATTAAATTAAGAGCTGTGTTAGTGTATGTGTGCGAGGCGCATGACATGTTTCTGAGTGAGAGAGGGAGGGAAAGTCGATCACCTGAAATTTTGATTTGTCAAACCACTGTATATTATGGGCTTCCTTGTCTTTAACCTGGGTAACCAAAAACATCATACGTAAATTTTACAAGACAAAGTACCTGGCTAATAGAAAACCATCAAATGAGTTTTAAGAAATTAGATACTCACCAATTGAAGTTTCAAGTGGTCTATGTTACTGGTCAGCCGCAGAACATGAAGTTTCAATGACTTCAGTAACAAAAATAATGAAACAAAATCAAACTCATGAAAATTTTGCTGATAAACAAATATTAAGAAGCAGGGATGGTAATCAGCATATTAGGTCAGATATCAGAAGGACCAAACTATTGTGAATGTTTCAAAAGCCTGCCAGTAATCTTGGTCGAGGCCAAAATGTTATCACTTGGTTTATAAGACGGGGAAAATGGCAACTTACTTTGACAGACCATGTAAAAAGAAAAAAAAAAAGGAAATCACCACATTATTGTTTAACGTGCAAGGTTTTAACTTGATACCTAATCCAACCCCTGCCAACTCGGAAAAACCAAAGGGTAACATAGATATCATACTGGGTCAAAAGGAAAGTTAGAAACAATTAAAACATAACAATCGAAAAGCTTGCACACAGGCTAGCACAACATCATCAGAGAGCTCTCAAGGTTCTCATATCATGGCAAGGGTCATAAGCCAGGACAACAACTCTCTTTAGTTTCCAAATTGTCTACAGATCTTGAAAGCTAAATATTAACCGTTAATGGACAACCCTTATCATTTAATATACATTGCAGAATTAGACCAAGAATCAACAATCACACAAGAACACATAAACACATATAAGTAGTTTGGCAACCTTGGCTTACATCCACGGGCAAGCATGGTAAGAGAAATCCACCACACAGAAACTGAGATTACAAGGAGACACACAAACTGTTCTCTCAAACCAAAACCCATTTACACCAAAACTCACTTCCTCTCACGCTATTCTTTTGTCTACCTCACACATACAAAAGAAATCTCTCCCCAGCTCATTCTTTGATCTAGCCACCAAGTTCTAGAGAATGAGTGATAAAATAAGACAACCCTAAAAAACATGACATCCTTAGGCTTTTATACCAGCTAAACCTATTGGCTTCTCAAATAAGTTAATTCTGCTAGACTTCCTTCCTTTCTAAGCTAAATTAACAAGCACAAGGGTTATTTTTTTCTAGCTTAGGCCAACAATTTTTAAGACAACACAACAATATGTTGACCTCTAAATTGTGTTGACATACACGTGCACACACAAGTGTGTAGGCAATAACACATACACTTTCTATCATATAAGCCAAGTTTACCTCTCGTCGTTGTGCCTCTAAAGAGCGTTTCATTGCTTGCCTTTTACTCAGGAGTGTGCGAGGCCTTAAACAAGCAGGCCGTGTATAATTCTTTCCACGATACAGAATAATAGCATAACCCTTACTGACACCCTCCACTGCCACTAACACTCCACCACTTTCTACCTCCAAGGTCCGTGCTACTTCTTGAACAGCCTGAAAGCTCCTCTCTTTACATATTATCTTCACAAGTTCCCTATATTTCCAGTGAAGGTGCACATTTTCAATTGTTCCATCAAAAACCCCCTTCTACCTGAGAAAAGAAGAGAAACACTCATCAGGGCCCATGTTGGTGGGATGCATTCATTTTGATGAGTCGAATGCCCTTTAATCCTAAAGAAAGAATATAAAGATGCATGCAACAGTGCTTCCTTTTACAGAACTCACCCATTAATAAGAAAGGCTTCATTTTCAAGCCAATCTTCCGTAACATGTACCTTTCCTCTTCAGTTATCCCTTCTTTATCTATTTCTGGTTGCCGGGACATCTCTGATTTCTCCAGCTCTGAAAGAAGTTTCTCTGCCTTTGCTTTCTTTGCTATTGCCTGTGATGACATGCCTTGTGTTAACATAAATAAGAGTTGACAAGTGCAAGTCAATTCTTAACAGATGGGACGCCTCCATATCATCATACCATGGACAATTTGATGCTAGTCCTTTTATTAGCTGCCTCAGTGGACCTCAGCTTTCTATTTTCAGGGAGATCCAATTTCCGGTCATTGGTAACATCAATTTCATCTGAAGATTTGGCATTTATAGTCCTGCAACTCCTACCTTTAAGCTCCTCTGCAGTTTCATTTGATGTAATCCATTTTTTATCACTATCTCCACGCTTTCTTCGATCTTCAATTGCAGAGGAAACTGCAGATGGTAGGAAATCCTTTCCCCGGTACAATACAATAAATTCCCTATCCCGTGAAAGCAAAATTCCTCCAGTCAGCCACTGCAACAAAGTATTTTAAGCTTAGCATATATCTATAATTAGATTAATCAATGTTCTCTAGGATTTGGTCGAGTAAAGAGTTCTAAATTAACAAGCTTTGCAATATGTGTAATTTATGCATAGTACAATGATTAAAAAAATCCACTGAAGTAGTTGTAAGAAATTCTGCACGGATAGGAGTCCAGATGCCATATTGAAAGTTCCATGCCAGGAGTGGACCAAATATTGTCAGGAGAGAGATCAAAGAGCCAAAATGATTAGCTAATAGTTCTAGCTCGATATGATAGCTCAAAAAAACAACTAACAGATGGAGAGGCATAAAAAGGAAGTGTCTTAGATAACCAATGTTTAAATGGATAAAGTTTTGAGCTTTCTGTTCATTGGTTTAAGACAGACATAACTAACCATATATCTCAAGTGTCAATTTAAAGAGATGAATGCTTGGAGATGCAAGTTGTGCTCACAAGAAGGTATGCATGAACCACCAATGGAAAGAGTCATAACTCCAAATTTTTTTCATCAAGTTCTTAATTGTTAGAACGGTATTGATGCGAACAACAAAGGAAGCATAACTTGTATCTTTTTGTAGACAAGGGCATTTTTGTAATCTGAAAATCTGGAAATTTGTCTAAGTCTAGGTTTTAGCTTTATTAGGTTTTTCCTATTCTACATACACTTAGAGGTTTCTTATTTGGGAATTTAGACTCTTAGTCTTTAATAGTTTATTCTTGTTTAGTTTATTTCCTAGTCAAGTACGGATTAGTTATCATAGTCTTTTAGGGAGTCTTAATCTCTATAAATAGGTATGCTGTGTTTTAATTTCAGCAGAATTGAGTTATGAAATAAATTGAGTTTAGAGTTATTTTGAGGCCTTGTGCCTAAGGCTTCTTTTTACTGTTTACAGCCTAATTTCTCCTTATTTTCACTGCAGAAATCTCAAATCTGTCCTACATCAAGAGTTTCAAATCTATAATAATTGAAATCACCAGAAAACATATATAAATTACACAATTTATAACTCAAACAATACAATTCCATTTCTCATGCTGTGCAAATTGAATTAAATTCAACAAGGTTAGCGCTGCAATCACAACATACTACCGTCATTAACACAGAAATAGAAAGAAAAACCCAATATAAACCATGATTCCAAATATGATACTATGTTAGACTTAAATTGGAATACAGCACGAGCAAGCAATAGGGAAAAGAAAATTACACCTATAGCTCCTATAAACCTAGAATGCACCAGAGAAAAAGATACCCATTTAATTTTTACATGAACCATCCAATATATACCATGATTCCAAATATGATGATACGTTAAGACTTAAATTGGAACATAACCAGAGCAAGCAATAAGGAAAAGAAAATTACACATATAGCTCTAACAAACCTAGTAATTATAAAAACATTGCTACTTTGGATGGAAGTGGTCCAAAATGGAGGATGACAAAGATACCCATACAAGTAATTAAAAAAAAAAAAATCAAACTAAAATGAAAGAGATCTGCCATCTCTTTGCATATCCGCTAAGAACATTCTTCCAAAGCGCTCTAGTGGAACACCAGAACAAAGCCAAGAAAACTACTTACAAAGTAGGGATAAAAAATTTGCTTGTCTCGAAAGATTTTATAGTTACTATCCATCACATACTCCAAATTGAGAAAACATAGTCATGTCACAGGAATCTTCAATTACTTTGTCACAAGCAGAGATTCTAGAAGTTGGAGTTATACTGGGAAGTAATTGGAAAAGAAGAATTTGAATTTGGTGGCCGTTGCCTAATGTTGGGTCTTTCAAGTAGTTAATGAAAAGTTGCATTTTGGATGGTAGTGTTAAGTCAATTTTATTTTCCCTTCTTTCAGTTCTTATCAGTACTGTAGCCACAATTTCGCATCATAGAGGGTCAATTGGTTATTTACTTATGTTCCCTTTTATTTCCTTTCTAGAAGTGGTCCTAATTAGTCCATGTAACCAGCTGCACAACTGTAGCTGGCATGAGAGAAGGAACATTTTTTCCAACTCTATATGATTCACTTCTCTCCCTCTCTATATTTATTGTTCTTTTCTTCTACTTTATTACTTTACTGTTCCAGTGCCTATCAAGCCTAAAACACCACTGGTTCCTACTAGAATCTCTACATTCAGCACTCAATCCCCAGCCTGCGGACATGCCAGTGGTACCAAATCCCAAAGATATCATCCAAATAGAATAGACCATCAAGGCTCTCTCCAAAGAAAGCCAAGAGAAATGTGACAAGGTAACGAAAAGATTGGACATCAAATCATGTGATAATCACACTATAATACACACGTGGTTTATTCAATTAGCAAAACTTCAAAAAACTGGAAAATATCGTCTGGCTGCAAATCCAGAGAAATGTTTTGTAAGTGAAAAAATTGCATTTTAATATTTAGTGTAAAGTTTTGCCAAGAAAGAACACTGAATAACAAGTTTTTAAAATCCTTTTTTGGTATTATAGGAAGTACAGAAATAAAAGTACTTACCTAGAGGGAAAAAAAAATCAAACTTATGGGTATTAAAAAACCATAATAGAACTTAATGGGCATTTACCTTTCAAAAGTGAACTTATCTGTACTTTTGTTGGAAAAGAATAGCATATGTCCTTGCAGATTAGCAATCACTGTGTGATTAAATTAATTGTGCAATATATTTTTAAGGAGAATAGATCTTAATATGACTTAGACCCAATCCTAAACAAACACCTTTCCAATTGCTCTCCCAACCACTCAATTACTGTTAAGGTGTATTACTTTCAATTGATTTTGTTTATTTCTAATGTACTACAGTAATTCGGCATTGAATTCGAGAACTTTTATCCAATCTTACTGTTTGCTCACAATAATACTTGGCTTTCATAATTGGAATTTTAATTCATAAATTCGGATATTAAATTGACATCCATGGACAAGTTTCTATAACAAAAGAGGTAATTCCACAAACATCAGAAAGAAGCCCAAATCTAAGAACACATACCAAAATACAAGTTTCAGAGAGAGAGAGAGAGAGAGAGAGAGATGAATATATCACACTAAAATGATTTATAATTGGCACTTTGAGGATATGCAACTAGAGGTGCTATGAGATGATCTAATGGAAATAAAGTAGAGTACTGCAAATTCTAATGCAATATTCCTGTGTTAATTAATAAGAACGCTAATTGGTCAAGAAAACTCAAATATGATATTGTGAGGAAGAACTTAACCTGTTACCCACTTCAATCAGTGTAAGAAAGACTTGAGAAATGGTGACTTATTTCCACAAGATTGGCTAAGCAGTTTATTCCTTAGATTTCCAAATATTATAGTCTTAACTCTTAACACCTCTCCATGAGCCTAAAAGAAATACAAGGACTTAAAGAATCAAGTGGAGAGATACAATAAAGCACCATAATTTATGAACCAAAAATTCAAAACATAAAGAAAAAGAATAAATGGGCGTAATTACCAACCTTTAATTCTTCAGCCATCAACTCACTATTAGTATTCTGCACTCCCCTCTTAACTGCAATTTTTGCAATCTCACATTTTTCCCAAAGCTTGACAATTGAAGCAGCCAATCCTTGAAGTTTCTTATTTCGCCCTGATATAAAAAGCAAACAAGTCATCAGATGTCAACCATAAGATTCCAAGATGGAAAATTGAAGATAAACCCACCCAAGGCAAAATGGCAAGGCAGGGGTCGACCGAGCCTCTTTAATGTGGTCATTTCATCATTTGTCAGAGTAGGGTTGATACCATACGGAAGAAGGCGGAAGGGTCTCCGATATCCAGAAACAACAGCAGGTAAAAGATCAGCATCAACTGGGAGTGGATCATATCCCCACCAATCAGTAAATCGGGGGCCTAGCCCATCCAATAACTGGTCAACTTCTTCTGTAAGTTGTGCCTCACCGGGCAATTGAAACCGTACTCTATTTGGGGAACCAACCCCTTGTACTAAGCTCGGTCCAACTATTTCATCGGTTGGACTGGGTTCAGGTGGAGCTGCACCATCCACGGCAGACTTGCAACTCCCAACTTCATCAACTCCTTTATCATCCATGTCTGTATTTTGTACAGCATCAGGAGAAGTTCCATTCACTGAACTAGTGTCTGCAAAGAAGTAAGGATAATTATAATCGGCGCCCCTATACAACACTATTTTACTGCCAACCCTCCATACAACTAACCCTCCAGTTTTTCTCTGCATTTGCGGAGATGGAAGAAGGAAAATATTAGTATAGCAAACATGAAACAAGTCAAGAAACAAATAGAAAATAATAATCCAATAAACCAAAGAATATCAATAATGAAATTCCATCCAAACCTCCAATAAATCATGAGTTCTCTTCATGTTCATTCTACACAAATCCTCGCAAACAATCTTAACAACCTCGGACCTCCTCCACCTCTCATGAATCCCATTCACAATCCCTTCCGTAATCCCGGCTTTCCCAACTTTCAATTTCCTTTTCTCCGCAATCCCAATTGTCCTCAACCTCCTCAATTCTTCCTTGGGTAAACTCAACTCCGCCAATGACGGAACATTTCCCTCCCCTTTCTTTGCTTCTCTTTCTCTCTTCACCTCTTTTCTCAGTTCATGATACCTAAATATCGCTTTCCCGGACCCCGGCACCGGTACCGGATTCTCCGGCGTGCTCCAGCTCGAGTCGAGAGTGTGCCCTACCCGGTACTTGGGTAAACGATTTGGTAAAGGGATGAAGATTTCTCCAGCAGTGGTTTGCGATTTGGTTTCGGTTTCTTCAGTGAAGCCGAGAGAGCGGAGCTTATCGGCAATACGTTTGATGGCAGAATGAGGGAGGGTTTTGGGGTTATCGGCACTAGAGCTACGGACTAGGAATTTGAGTGAGGGATTATTATTATTATTATTATTATTATTATTATGGCAATGGAAAATCAAGGTTTTGGGGATTGGGCAGAGGGGAGAAGGAGAGTGTGTTTTTGGTGAAGGAGAAGCAAAATTAATGTGGGTAAGGGAAACCAACATTTCATGGACGAAGAGTAGAAACTGGGTATTAGTTGAAAAAAGCTACCATGGCCAGCTCAAAGTTTATAGCATATGTCATGATATTTTCCTCTTCTTCTTTTAGAATTAACTAGGTTTTTTATTCTCGTTATGGTACAGATAAGATAAAAAATTTAAAAAATTTATTTTAATTTGATAATTTCTTTTATAATGTAAATATATAAAAATATATAAATAAAAAATAAAAAAATATTTTAAAATTTTTAATATAATTTGAAATTAAATAGATGAGAATTTAAAAAATACAAATTAAAGTAATAAATTTTAAATAATAAAAATAATAAAAACATTCATTTAAAAAGTAAAAAAAAATATTATTGTATAAATTATAATGATATATTTAAAAAATAAAACACCAACGTTCTAAAATTTTATTTCAAAATTCATATAATAAAAAAATAAATTTATTAACAAATAAAATTTTATCAAAAAATTATTTTTATGTGAATTTTAATAAGAAATGAATAATTAAAAAATTAAATTTAAATAATAAAAGTAATATAATCATATATATAGATATATCATATTTAAAATTTATGAAAACTTAAAAAATAATAATTTATTTTTTATATTTTTCACTTTTTTTCATTTGGTAGACTTTTTTCTTTATTTTTTTCTTATATATATATATATATATATATATATATATAGAGAGAGAGAGAGAGAGAGAGAGAGAGAGAGAGAGAGAGAGAGAGAGAGAGGGGGTGTGCCTAGTTGCAAGCCAACCAGGATAAGCGTCTGGTTGGCTTGTGCAACCAAGTTGCACAAAAAAAAAAAAAAAAAAAAGGCCATCTCGCTTGGGTTGTGCGAGGCAAGCCTGCGCGTCGAGCCTTGCCTGCAGCTCAACAAGAAAAAAGATTGCAACTTTCGTCGGAAATTCATTGAAATGGTCAACTTTTAAATCCTTAGAAATTAAATTTCGGCATCATTTTTTTCCCCAAACATCTCTAAATGACCGCAATAAAGCCAATAAACACATTTTAAACCTTAAAAATTATTTTAATACGCACAAAAATAAAAATAAAAATACAAAATCAAATTGGTTTTTTTTTCCTTTTTTGGCTCCGATTGTTTAATAACTTGAAACCACAATAGACAAACCCATCTCTCAAAGATAAAAAGATATAGTGGATTTTCGTCGGCCGAGTGACCTAAATAAGCTTGACCGACGATCTCTCTCTCCTTTTGTCTCTCTCTTCCTCTCGGCCTTCTCTCTCCACCCAAGGATCAAAATGGATAAACAAATGAACATGTGGATCGAAATATGCATTCAAAAATATGAGGGACCAAAACATAACAAAAAGTTATGAATAGTAAAATGTGAGAGAGTGAATAGTGGAATATGAGTGTGTGCACGGTATTTCAAATAGTAGTCACTATTCATTTGATGGTTTTACTTTAGTTTATTAGTTAATTGAATATTTCGTATTTTTGGTATTTTCTTAATGTCACTTCTATTTTTTTTCTTTTTGAATTTATCCGATATTTTTATTCAATATATTTTCTTAAAGTGATTCTTCTCTCAACATTTTTTTTTTCATTTTCGAGTCATGACAAGTGAGTTTACCCATTAAACGTATTGACACGTGTCAAAATCATATTTTTTTCAAAAATAATTACAAATTTAAAACAAAACTTGAGCTTGAAAAATCTCAAAAAAAAAAAACTTGATAAAAATAAATTGAAAGCTAGACAACACTTAGGTAGTGTTTGATAAAGCTGAAAATTAAGTATTGAATCTTCTAAGTACTGAATTTTAAGTGTTGAATAATTAAGTATTGAATATATTGTTGATAAATTATTTTGTATTTACTCGAAAATTAAGTGCTGAATATAATAGGATTGTTTGATAAGTATTATTACTTGAGCATATTAAGATTATATATATGACATTTTAGCCTTATAATTATAATATAATATTTTTTAACACGGATAAAAATATATACATAAATGTGTTTGTGTGATAAATAAATAAATAAATAAATAAATATTCAATAAAAAATATTATTAATAAAAAAAAATTAAACAAGAGGATGGGTGTTATCATTTGGTGGTGTGTCTAACGAATTGATTTGCAACAGATTCTATAGATGGATGACCATAGGAAAAAGGTTTGTCGACCAGGTGAGAAGACTAGCACACCAACTTCAGCACCACATAGAGTCATCAATTCACTTGCCTTTTTGTACATCCCAAATCTATTCTTTGACAATGTGATTGACTTGTCATTTTCATTTTCTATTCTTTTTATAGTGATCTTTTGCCTATATTTGGTTTGCTTGCACTGCCATTAAGAACAAAAAAAAAAAAAAAAAAAAAGCTTTTGGGCTAGACATAAAAAAGAAAAAAGAAAAAAAGATATGATAATGGAGAAGGTCTCCTCTATTTCAAGCAATGGGAATAGTAGAGATCGTTTTTCAATCAATTTGTACGGCTAGTGTTATAAGAATATATGAGAGATATATAGTCATATTTAAAAAGTTTTAAATTAAAAACTTTAAATTATCTAATTAAGTAGATTTTGACTTGAATTTAAATTTTAAATATGAGATTATTTAGATTATCAAACAAACTTTTTATATTAAGTACTACAACTTAATTTTTTAAGCTACTTAAATAGGTTATCAAACATACCATTAGTTTTTTCTAAACTTCATAGCAAAACAAATGATGAATTCATCAAAACAAAATCTCACACTATTTAATTTTTCTACGCAAAACTCATCTCCTTCCTCAACAATCATCATATCTCCTTTCTTTAAAACTGGATATTAGTTAACAAAACCATCGGCATATAATATGATATGCACATGACTCGATATTATTTGCTTAGTTATTGACAAATTGAAAATTTACTTATTTTATAAAGACATGATTGGCTCAATTTAGAATATAAAGACAAAATTAAAGACCCTTTTATTTTGCAAGAATTATATGTTAGGCCATTTTTCTTAAATTCTAATTCAAAGTTTCTTACATATTTTAATTGCTAAGATTTTTCGGATATTCATGGTTTAATTTGATGATACTTGATAAAAATAGAGTCCTTGAGAGAATATGGGTATCTAGCTAATTTCAATCAGTTAGCACTTTGTTTTTATTTTCCTTTTTTATAAAGAGGGGGAAAAAGATTTTCTTTCAAATCTAACTTCTTATAACAAATAATATTTTTTAAAAAAAAAATTGAAAATGTTGATTGTTCTATCTAACATGTCATTTTGCATGTTATGTATTGATGGAAAATTAGACGGAATCTTCATGGGGAGGCCGCATTAAGAAATGTCTTAAGTTAAGGGATCAAGTAAATTTTAAAACAAAAAGAATAGAAGGGTCACATTAATAAAATACAATGAGTGTAAGGACATAATATGTGATTAATCTCCTTTTTTTGTGTAATGCCCGGTACCCACTAAAATAGGAATGTAATAAAAGTTTAATATTAAAACCGTGTAAATATGTATATATATATATATATATATTTGAGAATGCCAAATAATTACTAGAAACTTAAAAGAATATTTAGAAGCGTCAAAATAGTTTTCCATCCTTAAAGAATATTTTAGTGATTTTTCGATACATGAATAATAGTTATTACATGAGAAAATTAATTAAAACATATTGTTTGTGTATGAAAAATATATTTTTTTTGTTTAGAATAATTTTTAGAAGAGTTATAGATTATTTTATATGATTTTATGAATTTTTTTACATATGGTGAATATTTCATTGAATTTTTTACTTGTAGGAATAGTGTTTTTAGAGGTAAAGAATTTAATTAGGCACCTTAAGAGTATGAGAAATTTTTTTTAAGAGCATTGAATAATCATATAAGATTTGTGAGAGTTCCTAGAAAATTTAAATTAATTTTAGTAAGTATAGGGAATATTTTTTTATAGGAAATAGTGTAATTTTCACACTAAATAAATAAATTGAAGGCTCACATTAGGGATGAAAATTATGAAAATTTAAATAAAACTCCCTTAATGAATTTTTGAATTTATTCTACAAATAAATTTTATTTTTGAAAATTATAGAATGGAATTTTAAAAGTAGGGACTAAATTGCATAAAATTAGGGACTCGATTGCATAAAATTAAAAGTCTAATAATCCAAATTAAATTATTTGATAATGTTAAGGGTTAAAAATTAGTTCTAAAACTAAAAAGAAAGGATTAGAAGTGAGATTTTTCATAAAAGAGGGACTTAGGAAAGAATGGGCTATGGAAAAGTCTAGAAACTTGGAGGACCAAAATTTGTCATTTTCTTTCCGTATTTGGCCGACCTAGAGAATTAATTATTTCTGACTTCCAGTAAAAATTATGGACAAAAATAAGTAAGGTGAAGGGGTTAAATAAAAGGGTGAATAAATAGCTAAAAATTGGGAAAAATGCAAATGAATGATTGCAAATTGAATTAAAGGCTGAGATTTTTCCACATTAAGGGTGGAGATGATTTCAATAAGTGCTACAAAATTTCATATAAATAGGGGTGCTAGAAAAATAAAAAGGAGAGGAAAAATTGAAAAACACAAAAGAAACTCTTAGAAAAGTTTCACTTAAAAATCACCTAAAATTTTTTAATAAATTCTACCCACCTCTAATCAATGGAAGAAGCTTGAATTTTAAGTGGGAACCGAAACTCTCAAGGAAAAAATTCAAAGATCAAATTCAAAAATTTAGAGGAAAAGAAGAGGAAGAGAAATCCTTCACCAATCTACCTTTTTAGAGTCTAATTGGAGCTCAAACAAGTAAGTTAACCTCACCTACACCACACCATACTTAATTGCAAGTCAATTTCATGCTTAATTGCTTGATTTGATTTAATTGCTCAATTAAGAAAAATTAGGGTTATGTTTTTTTTTATGAACCCAATTTGGGGGTTTTGAATTCTTTCATTTAATTAGTATTTTGGCACTTGATTATGAATTATTTGAGCATGAATTAATATTTAGGAATAAAAAATTATACTTTAATTGAAGAAAAATCCACTAATTTTTAGGAATTATATTCGGTCTAAACTAAGCAAATTAGGATTTGAGTTCAAAGTAATTTAATTCTGGTTAAATGGGTCATTCACACTTGAATAAGCATGTTTTGATGAGTAGAAATGAAAAATTTGCTAAAAATTGAAGAAAATGGGTTATATGGGCTTGGGCCCAATTTCGACCCATTAGAGCCCAATATGGGTTTGGGCAGGAATTAGGGTTCTAAATTTTAATTAAATTAATCCTTATAGTGAGTACATATTTAGGCTACTTGTTATTAAAATGGTAGGGCAAAATGAGAAGAAAATCTTAGGAATTTAAATGGTAAAATATTTTGCCTAAATGAGGAATTTTAGAAAGTAAGTTTAAAGTAAGTTCCAAACCCTAAATTAATTCATTCAAGGTCAAAATAAGGTAAAGGGATGATTTAGAACAAAAATGTTCATGAAAATCCAAAGAAAAATTGATTTAGAAAAAATTGGACTTTAGGCCCATTAAGGCCCAAATCGAAATTGGACCACCTAATTAATGAAATAGTACCTAATTAAGTTAGAACATGGATTAATACCTAATTTGGTAAAAGCTAGATGCAAAAAGGTAGTTAGCAACCTAAGAAAAATAATTTGAAAATGTTAAAATGTAGAGTAAGTTAATGAAACGAAAATGAAATGTAATTATTTACTTACTCTTATGCTATGATTGTATTTTCTTCCCAATAATATGTGGAATGCAATGAATAATGCATGATGGTTATGGTTAAGTTGTGATTGGTGATGAGAAATGTGGCTATGGTAAGCGATGCGTCAATATTGGTTGCATTACTTGATATGGGTTGATGTTATATATGTCGTTATGCTACTCGATTTTATATGTGTTACGTGTTTTCATAACATGGTTACATGATGATTTAGGGCATGCACTTGGGTATCATTGTTAGCATGCATTGTCATTCACAATGCATATGCATGCCAAAGCTCATGAATGATGTTTTAAGTCATGAAAACACATTTTATGCTATGAGTTTTCGATAGCAATCGAAATTATTTTAAAGAAGAGAATTTTCATGAATTTAAGGATTTTTATGAGGATGGGCTTCATGGGTTTTCCATATGGTAATGGTAATGGTTCGGAGCCGAACAAGTGCAGAGTGCACTTTTAGAGGCTCGGTAGGGCACGTCCGTGGATGGGTGCAGTTCGCTAGACATATGTGATGAAAACCTGAAGTACCTAAATGGGACATGTCCAAAGATAGAAAAAGCATTTTCAAACTGTTTATGAAATGTTTTATGACATAAAGAAAAAGGATTCATCATGCATATCGGTGTTTTATGCATATATACACATGTGCGTACACTACATGCATACGTTAACTTACTGGGCACGCAACTCATACAATTCCTTGTGGTGTAGATATATAAGATATTATGGCTCACTTCTCCGTGAAGCTAACTACCGAGGGAGGCATCGGACGCATGTAGCTTGGATAAGGGTTTGGCTTTCGAGTAGACCCATTACATAGAGTAGTTGCCATAGAATCGATCATGTATGTAAATAGTTAAGGTGTGTAATCGAATCGGTAATAATAAAATAATAATATCGTAGTAATAGTATAATTACTTTAAATTATCCACTGCATATTGACATGATTAGAAGTTTAGCAAACATGTAAAATAAAATAAATTAAAATAAAATATCATGATAAATAAATGCAAAAAAGTTTATAGCGAAGTTGAAGTAAGAAATAGGACTTGAATGTCATTAAAAGATTTTTGCCACGTAAATATTCTTACACACGTTACAATAAGATCATAGTGCTTTGTTAGCTTACGTTCATTACACTTAGAATATAGCTAACGGCGGTAATATTCTCAACTTATTAGGTCTTAGGTTGAGGATGTTACATTTTGTTTTAATTTTAGGTGTTGAAATTAGACTAAATAGATGTCTATCTTCCTAAGACCTTCTAAAATCCTTATCGCCTAAGAGAGAGGGTGAATTAGGTGTTTAAACTTAATACTCAATAATTAATTCATTTTATACTTTTTATAATAATAATCACAACCTAGTCTCTTTCAATCACCAACCATTCAAAGCATAACTCAAATAAAATATAATAATTAAAAGAGTAGGAAATGAAAGATTTCATCGTAATTTACGGTGATTCATCCTAACAATGACACCTCAACTTTTACAACTAATCTTTTTCATAGGTTCAAGATTAAAACTCAATCACTTAAACTCTTCAAAGCTTACTAACCAACATCTTAAGGGGTTGAATTACCATTTACACTTTAATAATGGTTTTCACTAAAAAAGAATGAAAAAAAAACACTCAAACAAATAGCAAATTGCAAGATAAAAAAATGTAAGTCTTTAGTAGTAATTAATCTAACTCTTTGAAGGTAAAATAATGGTGAAATCAAAGTAAAATACAAAGAATAAACAAATAGTAACTCAAATAAGTAAGAGTGAGATTGCACGGTAAAAAAAAAAAAAAACCCCAAAAAGTAGAGTTATCATGTCAATCACTCATTGTAGCGTTATAATAGAAGATTTGAAGTAAGAAATCTCAAAAAGTAAAGAATCTCAATCAAGTAAAAAAGAGTAGAGTGTCTCGATAAAAAAAATAAAAATCAAAGAATATATGGTCTAAATGTGAGGAAAACCTAACTAACGGTCTAACACCTAAACTAAACTTGATGTCATCTTAATAAACGAATTGTGTCCAATATGAGTTTCTCTAAGATACACCAACATGGAAACCTTGCTTTTAGAATACCAAATCTCGTTCAAGAACATTCCTCAATTTTAGAACTCAAAATGTAGTAGGTACAATCATTTCTCTTACAAACTTTAACATTGCTTGCAACACTTCATGAAAATAGTGATGCCTTGTTTGAGTTGAATGATTACTACAAAAATCACATTACTAAAATCTTAGAACTCAAAATTACACCACAAAAATCACCTTCACATGTTTTTTTTTTAAAGAAACGAGTCAAACTAAGTTCCTTAAAACATAAAAGCAACCGAATGATATATATAACCATGCAAACATATATAAAATAAAAACTATCCTAAATAATCCTTGTTTTATTGAATAAGAAAAGTATAACAAATGTATTATTTGCATTATCTAAAAAAATAAAAATTAAAAGTGACATGGTGTGAGGGGCCACGACTCCTCCGAACTTCAAATTAATTTTTTTAAAAAGAGTTTAAATACTAATAAACACCATATCTTTTCGCTATATGCTACATCATTTAATACATGGATCATCTCTAAATTCTATTGCTTTTTTTAGTGACTTCAAGTTGATGAGAAAAATAACTCTATTTCTTAATTTCGTAATTCACTATTATATTCTACTTGAAATTCCATGAAAAAGAGTCATGTACAACCTCTCCTAAACTCCCTTATGATCCCATTCAATAGTATCATCAACTAATATTTGACTTCACAAATCATGCCATGGTGGACGAATTGTAATCAAAGTTATCCATTTTTTTAAAGAAAAAAGGAATAAGAAATGGGGGTTTGCATCAATCTAGACTTTTAACGACAAATCGATAGATTGGAGAGTGCCATTAGGTAAAGTAAACTTTGTAGAATCCCATTTGGCATTGCTTTCCTTCCAAATAAAATATAGGGGTCCACAAGCAATGGTCGAGAAGAAAGAAAAGGTTTCTTTGGTCTATTCAAACTCCATGTTCCCATCTACCAATGTGCCAATGAATATTACTACCCGACAAGATATGCTTCGATTCATATGTTTCTAACGGAGGTCGAGTCCCACTCAAAAACTAAAAATCACTCGTAATGGAATGGAAGGAAAATTACCTATAATGAGATTAGACATTGGCATTTTAGATTCCTAATAGCTTATTGATGATGATGGGATGTAAGCATCGATAATGAAGAAGGTTTTCTCTATTTTAGTAATGAGGATAGTAGAAATTGTTTTTCGAGTTGGTTTGTATAGCTAAAATTGTAAGAATATATAAATGTTATGTAATCATATTTGAAAAGTTTTAAAAAATTTTCAACTAAGCGTGTTAATTAAAAAGTAATAAGTTAAAAACTTTAACTTATCTAATTAAATAGATTGATCGAATTTAAATTTTTAATATGAGATTATTTAAATTATCAAACAAACTTTTTATATTAAGTACTCGTAATTTAATTTTTTAAGCTATTTAAATAGGTTATCAAACACACTCTTACTCAAGTTTATGTTTGGAATGCTTTTATTAATTGAAGTTTTTCTACCTCTAAATTCTGGTTTATTTTAATTCTGGATTTTCAGCATAAAACCAACCAACCTACCTCTTCATAAGTTAATTAAATTAATCTACCAGTTTTTAGGATTTGACCTGAACTGGTTAATACTACAACTTCATGAAAACAGTTAAATAGAGTTAATTTTGGTGGATTAAAAAACCATCAAAATTTTGGCGAAAATTTGGAGACTCAAATGGCAGTTTTCTCGTGGTCTATTTAACCTAGTTTGGATTCTGCTTTATCTTTTATAGTTGAGTGCGCCTACGTATTCTAATATTTGAAATTTGTCCCGATGAAGGTGTCATACCAGAGGTCATTGTTTTTGCTTGGTTTCCTATCTCTGTCACAATTTTTATTATTTATTTATTTACTTATTTTTCAGTTTTTATTGAAAATTTCCATCTTTTTTCATGCTATTGCCTTTGTACAGAAAAATACTGAAAATAAATTATTATTTTTATGATCTCTTTTTACTCTCAGAAGGTAGAGCAATGACTCTGTACAGGTTCAAGATTCAACGTATAAAAATTTAAAACTTGTGTGTGGATAAGCAAACAGATTATTATTAATTTTTATTATTGCAAATTAATTGTAGATATACGCTTCCATTTTACAACAGTAAAGAGAGAGAAAAGAAAGGGTGGGAGAGGAGTCGCCTTCCTCATTGCTTCAACATTCCACCTCTCTTCAACCCCACACCTACTTAAATAACAATAATAAATGTATGTGTTATTTACAAATGCATTACTTATTATAAACTTCTACAAATCCCACCTTCTTCATCTTCAACTTCATGTCTGTTCATAAATTAGGCAAACAGAGAGAAAAATCAATGAATATAGACTAGCGCTACCTCTCAGTTTCTAATAGTGTCCATAACAGCCAGCGCAGAGGAAATTCAAGAAAAAGAGAATAGGTAGACAAGTTATGTTTGATCAGTAGTTGCTATATAAAATAAAAATAGCAATCATTAAGGTGTGTAGTGCGAATTATCTGTTATTTCTTATTTCAATGTTAGTTTGTGACAGCTTTTGTTTCAATTTCCTCACATCTTTTTATGATCAGTTCATATTTTGTATGCTATATATGTACGCATATATATATATATATATATAAATTCTGGACATGCTTTGATTCTTAAAAACCTTTTTTATTGATTATTACAGCTAACGACTGATCTATCCCTTCAGAGAAATGCCAGGACTAGCCATGGATGTGCTAAATGGAGATGGTTATGGAAGAGTAGATGATGAAACAATTGGAGACTACATGTCCCATAAGAGTAGTGGTTTTAGCCACCAGATGATCAGGTCTCCAAGAAGCACATTAAGTCCACACAGTCCACGTAGTGACTCAATTGATCTAGCCATTGATGGCGTAATTGATACCTCCATCGACTATTTATATCACAATGTTTGCGAGATGCAGAGCTCTGATCCCTCCCCATCCAGGGCTAGCTTTCTGTCATATGGTGAGGAATCGAGGATTGACTCAGAATTGCGCCATCTTGCAGGAGATATTGCAGAAATGGAGATACCCAAAGAGGTTACTATATTGGAGAATATAGATGGGGGCTGTCGTGCTGGCGTCACAGCTTCCAAGGATGATTATGAAGGGTCCATAGATCACAACAAGGCTAAAATCCGAGCTGCAAACCTTAAGAAGCAGCTTTTTCGCATGGAATCAGAATCTGGTGCATCTGCAAGATCGAATCCTAAGAGCAGATCTTCTCATGAGAAGCCTCCGACTGATAGGCAGACGCTGGACAAGAAAATTAGAAAACCAATTGCAGTTTTCACAATGAAGAAGCAGGGAAGTTTCGCTTCTGTTCGCGCAAAGTTTCGGAATGAAAGTGATCAGCATATTCTGCAGACTGCTGGAGTAAATAACCCCAACCTTGGACCATTCTTACTTAAACTAACAAGGGATATGATTTCTTCTGGTGAAAATCCGCAAAAAGCTCTTGAATTTGCTCTTCGAGCAACGAAATCATTTGAGGTATGTGGAAATGGAAAACCCAGTTTAGAGCAGGTTATGTCTTTGCATGTTTTAGCAGCAATCTACTGCAGCTTAGGCCAATATAATGAGGCAATTCCTGTTCTTGAGCGGTCTATTGAGATTCCAGTAATAGAAGATGGCCAACATCATGCACTAGCTAAATTTGCTGGTTGCATGCAATTGGGTGATACTTACGCAATGCTTGGCCAGATTGAGAATTCAATACTGTGTTATACAGCTGGCCTAGAAATCCAAAGACAAGTCTTGGGAGAAACAGATCCTCGAGTTGGCGAGACATGCCGATACGTAGCTGAAGCTCATGTTCAAGCATTGCAATTTGATGAGGCTGAGAAGCTTTGTCAGATTGCACTTGACATTCATAAGGAGAAAGGTGGTCCAACCGCCACTCTTGAAGAAGCAGCAGATAGAAGGCTTATGGGCATTATCTGTGATGCAAAAGGAAATTATGAATCTGCTCTTGAGCATTACGTTTTAGCAAGCATGGCCATGGCAGCAAATGGCCAGGACATAGATGTGGCTTCAATTGATTGCAGCATTGGGGATGCATATTTATCGTTGGCACGTTACGATGAGGCTATTTTCACTTATCAGAAAGCGCTTACTGTCTTCAAGTCAAGTAAAGGAGAGAATCATCCAGCAGTTGCTTCCGTTTTTGTACGTCTGGCTGACTTATATAACAAGATAGGGAAGTTCAGGGATTCTAAGTCTTACTGTGAAAACGCACTTAGGATTTACGAAAAGCCAAATCCTGCAGGGGGGATCAGGCCTTCAGAAGATATTATAGCCAGTGGTTTTACTGACATTTCTGCAATTTATCAGTCCATGAATGACTTGGATCGGGCTCTCAAGTTACTTAAGAAGGCTTTAAAGATCTACCATAGTACTGATGCTCCAGGTCAGCAAAGCACAGTCGCAGGAATTGAAGCCCAAATGGGGGTCATGTATTATATGATGGGGAATTATGCTGATTCTTACAGCACTTTCAAAAGAGCCATCGCAAAATTTCGAGCAAGTGGAGAGAAAAAATCTGCCTTGTTTGGTATTGCTCTAAACCAAATGGGTCTCGCCTGCGTGCAGTGTTACGCAATCAATGAGGCTGCAGATTTTTTCGAAGAAGCAAGAAGCATTTTGGAGAAGGAATATGGACCCCATCATCCTAACACTTTGGGGGTCTATAGCAATCTAGCAGGCACCTACGATGCAATGGGCAGGTACTCTTTTTCCTTGTCCTTTACTTCTAGTTTATGAGGTTTCTTCTGCATTCCAAATTTACACTTAATTCACAGATTGGATGATGCCATCGAAATTTTGGACTATGTTGTTGGCATGAGGGAGGAGAAGCTAGGAACAGCAAATCCTGATGTGGATGACGAGAAGCAACGGTTGGTGGAGTTGTTGAAAGAAGCAGGCAGGGTTCGGACCAGGAAATCCAAATCACTAGTAACCCTCCTTAACAAAGAATTTCAAGTTATTAAGGATGGTGGTACTGATGCATCATAAATAATACGGTAACAAATATTTCTCGTGTCCGTACAGGGTTAGGTTAAGTTGTTGGTTTTATTTGTTACATTAGATTCCTGTCTGGATTTTGGAGAAGTAAATAAATCAGAATAGCAATAACTGGGATAAGAAATTGGTTTCAAGTGTGTTTTGTTATTCCATTTATTGTCAAAAGCAAGAAGGTGTAACAGTTGGATTTTGTACTTCATTCTTCCTAGAATTTGTTGAAATCATTTCCTTTGTGACATTCTCTCTCCTTTTTGTGCCTTAATCTTCAATAAAGAGATGTTGAAAAATCTTTTTCTTCTGTTGTACCAAACTACCCGTTAGAATGCTTTTAATTGCCTCTACCGTATTTGTAAGATACTGATTTTTCAAGTCTTCCAAGAAATTTGCTAATGCCTAATTTGTATCGAGTAGAATTTTGAAATCATCATTAATGTTGAGATTGTAATCAAGTCATACAAACATAAAAATAAGAGCGCAAAATAAATAAGAATACCACCACAAAAACAATAAATTTAAGTGAAAACATTTTCTATCTTAAAAAAAAAACACTTTGGACTCAACTCTAAAAAAACTCCAAAAAAACGAATTATAATCATGAGATCAATAAAATCTTTCATATTTTTTTGTGAATATGAGAAGAAAAATATTAATAATGATATAAATTACATCTTTAATTGAATCTATCGCATCATCAAAATTTAAGATTAGTAAAATCTTCTTCTTTCTACAAATGTTAATCCTATTATGAGGTGAACACCTTAAATACTACAATTCATTGTAACTATAGCATCCATTCATCAATTCTAGAAAAGAAGTCAAATATTTATTATCACAAAAATCCTTCTTTATATAGTTTGGCAGCATAAAACCATTTTCCTCACATGCACACAAGGACCTTACGAGTTATTTTTGTATCTAATTTTATTCTAATCATTTTCTTATATATTTCTTAATGGATCTTCATGGGTAATGCTACGGACACTAATGGGCTAGACCTTTAGCATACACCTAGCAAATCTCCTTCCTCCAATCGTTGAGAGAGAGAGAGAGAGAGAGAGAGAGAGAGAGAGAGAGAGAGAGAGAGGCCTTCAACTTATCATCTAAAATTCATGTCATTCACATTTATATACAATCTGTTCTTTTTGCACTACATCCCTTTTGTCAACATATCAAAAATAACTTTATATAGGAGAATCATTCTTAACATCATCAATTATTTTTTCATTATTTCACAAAACTAACGACATTACCAATCATTACACATTATTTCTTGACCCATATTATAAGTTAAAATATTACGAAAACTATTTAGTTCATCCTCGTCTATCAATAAGACATACGTAGAATTGGAATTATTGATGAAAGAATGACACTGATCTGTTAGACCTACTCACATAAGTTTTATATTTTGAATTGGAGGTCCTGCTTAGCGCTTTCTATATCACCATTATTGTCAACTATTGGCTCAATATCTACCCCATGTTCTTTATTCAATACACTCTCATATGTGGAAATCTCATTGGCAAAAGCAATGCAAGACCTCTTTATCAATCCTTTTCCATTCATCCGAACCTATTGTTTGCACTAGGATTTTGAAGAGCTACCATCTTTAACTATACTATTTTTAGGTCTAATCAACTGTACCTTTTTTTTTCTATTATTTATCATAAATATTACCTTTAGTAACAATAATTGATTTCTTGGTGAGTTTTCATTTTCCACAATAACAATAACTATAGCATCCAATAATAGACATGAGTTAAACTTAGATTTGTAATTCTCGAACTTATTTTCTATGCTTTGTGTGCATATTTATTTTGTTAAATATATTCATGTCATGTTTGTGTTATTATTGATAAGTGTTTTTTTTTTTTTTTTTTGCAAAATTAATGTTGTTAAGTGTTATGTATGAATAGAGAATTAATTGACAAGTGAGAAATTTAGAAAATATGTTTAACTAAATAATTTCCATACATGTATAACTTAGAATTTAAATTTAATTATTGACCTTAACATGTGTTAATTTAGGAAATAATATCCCAATTAGGAGTTCCACCTAAATTAAAATGTCCGAATGTAAAATAACCACCTTAGGAAATGTATCTCATTAAGGTTATTTTGGTCCAAAGCTTTAGCCTAGAGGGAGAAATAAAAGGTGGAAAATTTTGTTTAGGTTTTCATTTAACATTTCATTTGCCTTCGTCCATCTTTGAGAGAAACTAAATTTCTCAAGGAAAGGAGTTAAAATTGCCAAGAGGAAGCAAGCTTGGCCAAAAGATAGAGAAAATTTTTAAGAGGAAGAGAAGGTCGTTTTGGCAAAAAATTTGAGAAAGAAAGAGAGGGGATCTCGAGGGCTTTCAAGGTGATTTTTACTCCAACCAATCCTAAGTTAAGTGTAACTTTAACTCACCACAAGGCTGAGGGTTGTAAGTGTCGATTTGGTGAATTGTGTTCTTATAAAACCTAAGGTTTATAATTGTGCGCTAGAATGAATTGTGTGCAATTGATGGTTGAATTTTGAAATCGATGAATGATTTACCAATGTGATGTTATGGAATGTATTTAATTATTGATTCAATTTGTTTAATGATATATTCATGTAAACCTAAAATTTTTTTAAGGTTTTTATTTGTTATTAAATGAAGGCATTACATAATGATATGGTTAGGTAAGCAATTAATTGGAGAATGTCAGTTTTATTAGTGATCGGTATGTATTTCATTATTGATTTAGCATGGGTAATGTGGTGTTTATGTGAAACTTAGAAATTCTTAAGTTTGGTCTATGCGACTAATTATTAGATAATCTTAATTTATGAATTTACATATTATGATACTAATGAATAAATATTTAATTGAAGATTTATCATGGTATTGATGTAGGATATGTAATTGATTGTTGATTGAATTATTTAGATGAAGAATTTGAATAGGGTTCATTGATGGGTATGATTGTGGAAATTTGGCTTAGGCTTGATGAATGGATGATTGTATGGAAGATAGATGGATTTAGTTTGCTTGTGGACACTTGATTTGGGATGGCTAAACCATTAGATAACTATGTTGATGAGGGATGCCCGACTTGTTGAATGAATTCCGTTAGGGATAGGTTTCATGGTTTTGTATGCATGTTTATATGGTTGTTTGATGTAATGGATGATTTTGGATTAGGTAATTATTTGTTATCAATTGACCATATGTTTTGATGCTTATTGGATAATTAATGGTTTTGTCTTTGGTGTATACTTAAAGTGATTTGGATATAAGATTATTAATTGAATAGTTTGAGAAAACTTGATAGTCTTGGCTTTGGCTTATGCTTGTTGAACTTCTTGTTGAGATTATGGATTGTTATGAAGATAATTGATTATGTTGTTGTTGTTTGGTGGATTTAGCTTGTTTGATGGACTTGGCTTACTTATGGTTGCTTGGCTTGGCTTGGTTGAATAATTAGAGGGTTATGTTGATGAGATTAGTCTAAGTAAGTTTAATGGAAGATTTAATGCTCGTGTCATGTGAGGAATTCAGTATATGTTCATAGAATTGCTTGATGTTGTTATGGATTGATGATGTTATTTGGCCATGTGTTGTATTTGGACTATGTTTATGGATGGCTTGGTGTTATTTAGGATGTGTTCATGTTGTTTTTAAGACTTGATGTTTTCAACCTAGTCATGTCATGTTGATTGTATTTATGAATCGCTTAAATCCATATGGGTTATTTTATTGTATATATTTGATAATGTATTATAATTGTATTCATATCAAGAAAGGTTTTATGTCATGATTTCAAGCATTCTAGAAATGACATTTACAATGTTTTATGAGGGCATTGATCATATTTAGGTATTTTCGAGAAGGATGATGAGAAATGATCAACCCTTTATGAGGTTCATTGAATTGGACATACCTGTAGCTTTTATGGAGTTTAATGATGCTGATTTTAAAAGAGGGATGAATTTATATACATTCGAGTAGGGTATACTGAAAGAGAGAAAACAATTTTAAGCGTGATAAAGATTGTTTTCATTACATTCATGCATAGTTACATTTATTAAGCTTTATTTCATTTTGTTTCTCTTGTGATGTAAGAGAGCAAAACAATGCTTGGAGGATTAGTTTGATGCATTGAAGATGCTAGCCATGAGCTACGGAGTTTACCAAATGGTGTATTACGAGTCTAGGTTTAAAGTTTGAGAGTTAAACCAATACTAGGTTTTGCCCACTTTTGGGTATTGTCGAGATTCGACCATTTTAAGTTGTTTAGGTTGATCTTTTTGTTTATTTTGGTATATTAACATTTATATTTTTTGGATTAAAGGATTACTTAAAATGATATCAATTTTAGATATATCAATGAATTAATTCAATTATAAATGTATTGATGCAATTATTGAAATGGTAACAAGTTAGTTTGATTATGAATGGTTTATGTTGAATGAAATGGTTTAGGTTTATGTAACTTGTTAATTGAATCCCACAATGGAAATTAAATGATTTAGGTTATGGCATAGGTTGTGAAAAATTTATTAACCTTAAATGTCAAATTTTAGGACTCTTCAAACTTTAAATCAAATGAGGATTATATCGTGCATTGTCATAGAGATTTAGGGTAGAGGATATAGTGCATTGCTTTGCATCCTTGAGTATGAGACGAGTGTAGTATCATTCTCGACTCTCTATGAGGGTGTGAGTATTACATAGGTGGTATTAAAGCGTAGTTAGATTAGTAGGCCTAAAGAGTACATGAAAACTCAAGCTCTCGTAATATCATCAACAAGTAAATGTTTAAATTTGTCAAGGATGAAATTTTAATTATTGATTGGCAAGTATGTTTGACAAGTGTGTTATGATTATTTGATGAATATCATTGATGTTTGTGGACTTAAATGAATATATTTGTTATTGATTTATGAATGATGCTATTCATATGAATACAAGGGAAATTATCATAGTGTGTGAGCAAGCATAAGAGCTATAAATCAAAAGGAA